ACAAAATTCAACTTCCTGTTCTTTGGAAACTAAACGTTTCTGTTTCCTGATGATCAAGTTCACAATAAACTCTCCCACAGCTGGATCTATCATCTTACTGACTGACGAGTTCCTTCAGATGGTGCAGTTCAAAACCCAACCTGCACATCCCTCCCATACAGCCCTCCAAAAAGTTATCACGAAGGACTCAACCAACATGTTGGAAACTTTCCTCCGTTTGCCATGACGACTACGACGAGGCTTTCTCCCTGTCAACATTCATTCTTCTCACGTGGCCAGCCCATATTCTCTTCCAATCCTACAATCCCTTGAAGATGTTCTTTGCTCCTGGTCGGTCTTTGGAATTCCTCATTGGCTTATCTGTTGCAGCCTGTTCCCTTTCACCATCCTCTCCACATGACACTCATTTGTAGTTTATCTGAGGCAGTGGTATCTCACTGCCACCTCATAGAATCATCATGTTGGAACTGAGAAGATGGGCCTTTGCTGTCAACCGTAAGCTTGGGGTTAGTAAAAGCTTTGCAATTTTCCCTGGAGTAATCCAACCCATTTCCCTCTCTGCAGTTCTGGACCCAGCTCGCTGACCAGCTGCACTGCCTGTCCCAGATACATAAACACTGATGGACAGACTCGATGGGGTAGCCATCCAAGTGCATACTGAAATCTGAATAGACATTTGTTAACTACTTGGGTCTTCTCTGTGAATAACCACGTCAGTCTTCTCTGGGGCTATGACAGTGTATGCTCTGTTGCCATCGCTTAGCTTTCAATGGTCATTTCCATGCTATGATGAGGCAGGCATCGGAGTAGCACTCATGAAAATTGAAAGGGAAAAAAAAAGTCATCAAATCACATAATGAATTAAAAAAAAAATAGAGCGAGATTCCCAAAATAAACTCTTTCCCTGAATCAAAAACACCTAAAACAAAAACAAAGCCTACCTTTCCCACCAAGCTCCAGGTGGCTGGCAGTCTGATTCTCTATCTGACTGATCACTCAAGTTCCTTTAAACTTAACCCCCCTTTAGACAGATTTGCAATTAAAAACAGTGAGAACAAAAGGGATGTGAGATCTTCCTGGCCGCCCTTAGTCTATTCTAATAGAAACAACTTACTTCTCCCCCCACCACGCCAAATTTACCAGGGCAGGTAAATGAGATGGACTAGAGCCACGGGGTACTCCTGGCAACTAGGTTCCCGTTTTCTGAAGCTGCACCTTATCTGGGATTTATATTTAATTTTATAACAACTTGGTTCTAGGTAAAATGGAGATCACATTTGCAAAGTAGTTGTAAGGAAAGCCACAGTTTACAAAACACAGAAATCGTTCACACTGCCTATGAAAAGATATAAACTAGAAACTTTGTTGGGGGATTCCGATCTTCCAGTGACGAGTGACAATATACCTGAAAAAGGGAAGTTCTGGAAGGGGACAGCTCATGAAAGTCATGAAATTGGTATCTAGTAGATGCTTAATAAACGTTCACCGATTGGTTGAAATTCTATCGTCGATCTTGCCCATATCGCCCACCAGCTCGATAACGTCTAGTGGCCTCTGTTGCTTTGAGGATCAAACACAAATAAATGCCTCATTATTTAACACGCTCCATAGCCTGGCTCAAACCTAACTTTCTGCATCATTACGCGTTGCCCACTTTTGTACTTTTTGTTCGATCCAGCCAAACTGGCTGGTCCTGCTGTTTTACACGAGGTGCTCGATCTCCTTTGTACGCATCTTTGCTCAGGCTGCCCTCCATGCCTGGAATGGAGCCCCTCCTCACCAGCCTCTCCTAGCACCCCACTCTGGCAACGCCTCTCCAACAAATTTCTTCTTTTTTATTTTGCCCATATGTCTATGGGTCTCTGCTGCCTCCATCACTGAAATGTAAGCTCCAGGAGAGTAGGAACAGTTTCTTTTTTGTCTCTGTAACCCCGGCACACAGCACAGTGACTGGTACACACAAGGCTCCTGCAGAACATCTTGGAGCTAAGGTGCAGTAAACTGTGACCCTGCCCACCGAATCTTCTCCTCCAGCAGCAGCAGGAACGGATTCCTGAGGGAGAAGCAACCTTGCTCACTTGCTCAAAGCAGGCAGAAGACAGTTCATGGTCTTTTCTCCTTAGAGATTGACAGACCTCTGTCTAGTGCCTGCCCCAAAGGTCCAACACTGTGTTCTAAGGGAGAGGGGAGTAATTACAGCCATCCAGCTGGGGCTAACTCCCTCACCTTCAGCGGTTCATCCATCTCACTTTTCAGAAGCCGACAGCCCAAATGCCTCCTCTGATACCACAAAGTTGAAAGACATCAAATAACAGATGACAGCTTTATTTAAAAAATTTAGTTTAAACCCTAAATTGTGGCTAATCACAAAACAGGTGTCCAGTCCTCTACCTTACAGTTGTCACTCTGTCCTGATCACCTGCCAATTTTACACAATTAGGCCATTACTAGCAGAAGGCATGGCTACCATTTTCAACTTATACCACTTATTTCTCCTCTCATAAAGGACAAGATTATCACAGACCACAAGCTTTCTAAAGACAAGGACAAATATGTTATCTCTGCATTTGAATACAGCAAGCTACACTTGCAGACTGCATTAAATATTTAACAAATGAGTGAAGTGCTAGACTTCAAGAGCACCATTATTTGGGAAGGAGAAATGATCCCAAGTACAATCTACCACAAAGTGCATAAAAATGGATTGTCCGACTCATGACTCACTTCTCTCTGGATCATTTCAGTGCTCAGCACCCCCACTACATGCCGATGTGAAGAGAGAAATCAGTTAGGAAGAGTTAAAATGTAGTAACTATCAGAGAATTTCAAAGTTTAGCTCTTCCCCATTATGGTTAACTGGGAAATGGCAATATTTTTAAAGTACTGATATTATGAAGAACGATTCTGACCTGTTTTTAAAAAGGGTAGATCACTCTGGCAAGCAAATTCCAAAAGCCATTTTTCTTAGTATCACTCAGTCATCCACTTTAAAAAATGTCCCCAACACAATTATCTTATCTTGCATGAAATTCCACCTCAGATATATAGTATATATCTAAATATATACATATATATTTAGACAATAAGAGAGCCTCACATACTGATTAGACCCAACCTTGGAGTTAAGGCCTAGGTGACCCTGGGCAAAAGTCATGTAACTCTTCTATGTCCCCAGCAAACTGTCTAAGGCTCCAGGTTGCAGAGAAAGTGCTAATCTGCAGCTGTGGAAGGACTTTCCTCCTCTAGAGTTCCCTGTGCCAATGAAAGCATAGGTGCCATCTGAAATAAAACACACTACTCACCCATCTTGTGTTGAGGGGTACTCGCATTCTTGGCCTTTTGGAAACACACCACTGGGATACAGGTCACATATGGGAACTGAGGGTGGGTCTGTCTGTACCTTCGCTGTGGAAGACAAATGAAGCATTACAGTTTATATCAACACAAGACTCTATCTCCTCATCGGGACCTACCTGGGCCCTTCGTGCACCCTTTGGATCTCACTACACGGCAGCTTAGCTAGAGAGGAGAAAGGGATGGTTAGCCACGGGAATCATCTTCATCCTACCTCAGGTGAGAAACAGAAAGAGCACAGAGCCTGCCTGGAAAGAAGACCAACAGACCTTAAGCACAGAATGACGTGTTCAACAGTGTCTATTTGCCTTTGGAGAAAAGCGCGTTTCACCCAAGAAGTCAACATAAATTTCATGTTCAGTGACCTTAAGTGCCTAACTTTATCCTAAACAATTACGCTAAAATCCAGATTCACAGAAAATGAAATGCAGGGTGATGATTCACTTTACAAAGAAGATTCTTTCAGGCCAGCGAGGCAGAGCAGTGGATAGAAGTCAGGAGGACCCAAGTTCAAATCTGGCCTCGGACCATTCACTTGATACTTACCAGCTGAGTGACCCTGGGCAAGTCACTTAAGATTCTTTCTATACAATGTGTTTAAAGTGTAACTTGATTTACATTTTTGCAAGAAAGCATACAGACTACGTCAAGTATGTATATTGCATGGAGATAATTCTCTAGCTCTTCTAACGCTGTATTCTCAGTCAGGAGACTTGGGTTTGATTGCAGCCTCTAACCCTTATTAAAGTGTCTGCATTCTCAATCTCTCAGAATGGAAATGACAGCTGTGAATCAAACAAAGAAGTTCTCAATGAACATCACACAGGATCACATCCTGCACCTTCTGAACTCTGCAACATTGCAACACATGTAAGATTTTATCAGTATTCCCTAAAGGCCGGTCAAGAGAGAATCCGGCTCATCTCACTACTTACAAAAGTGATCTGATGGATGTGAAAGCAGAATCAAAACGAGCAACAAGAAAATGAGAGAAAGGAATGCAACAGGAATAAAGCAAAAATGTAAATGCATAATATATTATATAACATAGATTATTATGTATTATAATATATAAATAAAATATAAAACAAAATCAAAACCAGCAACAAGAAAATGAGAGAAAGGAACGCAACAGGAATAAAGCAAAAATGTAAATGCATAATGTATTATATAACATAGATTATTATATATTATAATTATAATATATAAATAAAATATAAAACAAAATCAAAACCAGCAACAAGAAAACGAGAGAAAGGAATGCAACAGGAATAAAGTAAAAATATAAAACACTTTGGCATTACTAAAGCAAAATCAAACTGTCACTTTTTAAAAGGCTTATTAAGTGAACAAGCAAATCCAATCCGTCTGGGCATTCCTTCTATTGGTCCATATTGTGAACCATCTTGTTTAGATCCTTCCAGCTGATCCTACAGAGGACCTACCTGATAAACCAGAAGGGAGGTGCTCCTCTCCAGTTATCCTAGACTGAGAGATGCCCACGAAGCCTGGGAGCTGGTTTTTGCAGTGGAGGACTGCAACATGACTGGCCCAACTTCTTTCCCAATTACTTCCTCAACAATATCCCTTAGGATACTTCTCTTGGGTAAGATATCATTGAAAACATGCAACAGCTTATTTGTGCCCACCATGCAAATTCTCCAATGCCCTTTAGATAGTCTGCAACGCATTTACCAGAATGTGTATGTTGAAAAGATGATTCTTTGAACATGTTTGTTTAAAATCACTATGTAATTTCTCAAACAAAATCCAAGTCTTCCTGACAAGATGGGCTACCTGAATGGGAATCAGATCACCCAGCAAAACACACATAACTCCTGCAAAACTCTTTAGTTCACACTAGATCAAATAATGATCAATAAATATGAGAAACTACAGTTAACTTCTTCCACCTTGTAACTGCACAAGACATCAGCCAGAAGCCTACAGGCAACAGAAAGGGGCTCATACGCAAAAGGAATCTGCCCCCAGTCAGCAAAGCCAATGCCACCATCTCCCAGGGCAACACCAGCCTGAAAGGCTGTGTCGAGCAGCCAGCTACAGTTTTCCCTGACAATGTTTCAAGGTTTGGATCTTAGAAGTCCCAAGGAGAGACAAGGCAACACAGCCCACAGCATTCAGAAGGGGACAGTCGAGGCCTGAGATGGGCCCAGAAGATGCACTCAGAAATGAACTTTCAGTATCCAGGGGGGGCCTAACCCTGGAAGGTATGATGCATGTCACCTACCTCCTGACAAAGGTGATGGACATAAAGCACAGAAAGGGAGATGGATTTTTTGACATGGTCACTATGTGGATGTGTTGTTTGCTATGTTTGTTAGAAAGGGTCTTTCTTTCTCTTGTTTTTTCACCAGGGGTGAGAGGAAGAGGAAATAGGGATGGCCCCTTTAAAAAAAGGAGGACCATTGTAACATCATTTTTAAAAATACACAGAAAAGAACGGAAGTAGGAATCACAGACAGGACAATTTTGAAAGTGATGTGTAGAATTATGTATTTAATGTACTTGTACAAATAAAAATCTCTACACTGTCCCCCATTCAATTCTAGGCCCAACTCACTGTCCATCTGCAGTACCTGTAACAAATAAACACTGAGGGACTAATTCAAGGGACTGACAGTCCATTCCATGTCACAATATGGTTAACAGTCAATTTTCATACATTTATTTTTTCTGCATGGCCCGTAAAATCAGTCTCTTGAATAAGCCTTGAGAAGGGCCTGCCATTTTCTCAGGCTTTATTGCTTGATAAAAATCAACTCAGTATCATTCATAAACACTGTCTTCTCAACATCTACAGAGAATCCTTTCATGTGGAACTTGTGCAAGACATTGTCCTCAACAGCCGCCAATACCTTCAGCAAGCATCTATCTCCCTCATTTTATGCCTCACTTGCCATGAATAATGTGAGAGTCTTTTGGCCTCCTCCTTACGAGACTCTTTTATATCAGTTAGATTTCTGCAAGAAAGAGTGATAACTGAGGTCAATAGCTTTTGTCATTTCCCACTCTGAGGCAACAACAGCTGATCTGAATTAGACTGAGGCTACTGCAGTTGTTTACAGCTCCTTCTCATCTTCAATCTTTCTTCTCATTCAAGGCTGACTGAGGCAATTTGCTCTAACTGGCTAATAGTCTGACATCGATATTGCTAACTGATATTATTTACCCACCAGTAACACTTGCTTCACGTGACAGTTTCATATTCTGTGCTATTCAGTACTGCAATGTCCAAAATCTTCCACCTGTCTTCTGGAAATAAGTATTTACAATCTACAGGGACATGGTCTCTGAATCTACTACAAGCTTTTTGCTTCTTTCTCTCAGACCTGGCCAGGCACCAAGCATTTCAGCATTTTTTGCTATCATCGCCAGGCCCACTTTCACACTGAAGTCATAAAGTACCATAGTATAGATGGCTTAGTTTAGACAGTCTCACCCATTTCTCCATAGAATTTCTCAAACTCCTCATTCTCAGTACTGTGCAGCTTCCATGCCATCAACCATCTCTGTGCTTCTTCAAGGTGAACCATTAAGCTGTCCTTCCATCTGGCTGCTAAATCCTTTTGTCTCCTGGTTTTCTTCAATGTTAAGTGCATCAATGTTGAGGTGGTTCAGTACTTCCAAGAGTCTATTCATTCCTTGGTCCGTGGTCCAAGACCTCATATTTCAAGTACCAACCCTTAAGTCAAGGCTTACAAATTATCTAAAAAACAGCGACTCTTTGCACCCTCTGTGCTTCCCTTTCCACTACCATTTCTTTACCCTCTGCTCTTTGCTCCAGTGGTCCCTCAGAATCTGGCTTTGGTGCCTGTAGGGTAAGCACAATGCTCTCTCAAAAGTGCTCTGACAAGAGGACAGCATATCGGGGTTCCTACCCTCTTTCCAGACACTGTTTCTATTCAGATGGCAGTCATATAATGGCACCCATGTCAAACTCTTAGCTTACATATTGCTTGGGAACAGTGTAAGTCGTGCAGTGGAAAAAAGCAATAGATTTGAAGTCAGAAGAGCTGGTTTAAAACCCAGCTCTTCAACTGATGTCTTTAGGTGACCTTAAACAGTAACATGACCTCTCTGAATCTCAGTTACGTCATCTTCTGTAAATTAAGAGCAGAAGGAAGATACTGGACTAGATCAGGGGTTCTTAACCTATAGACTTCAAACTTGATCGTTTTAAAAATATTTTTTTTAATAATTTTTATAACTATTTCAATATAATTGGTTTCTTTTGCATTTTTTTCCCCCAGGTACTTTACTTCATGCATTTAACAACAGGATTCTGAGAAGGGCTTCACCAGATACTGCCAACAGGGGCCATGACACATACCAAAAAAAGTTAAGAATCCCATGTACTGAGTGATCTCTAAAGTCCCTTCCAGTTCTAAATCCTATTTATGATCCTAAAATTCCCTGGCTCTTTTGTCCAAGAACTATTATTAAGAAAGGATTCCATCATGGTATGCATGTGGAGAATAAGTTGCCCCATCCCTCAAATTTTTAGAAATCTTTCTGCCACCAGACACTGTTATCCGATGTATTAACTATCCCCTCTCGGCAGCTCATCTAAAAATCTGACAAAGAAGTTTTCTATATATTCCTCCAAATACTTGAATAAGAATTAGACTCATATCTTTAGAATGACTGACCTTAATTCTGATGAGGAAAAAGACAAATTATTCAAATACTTCCCTCAAAGTCACATAGCTAATTAATCCCACTGGTCTCCAGACTTATAGTCCTGTGTTCTTTACCCTATGCTAACAGTCTTTAAAGTAGGGCACATATATCTTAGGATACAAAACAATCCACTGTGGTGCAGGAAGAACTCCTGTATGTACTTTTTAACCCTAGAACTTTACTAGTATCTAGTACACAGGTTGATAGTGACACTCTCATTTTGTCTGAAAGTCACATGTAACTCACACAGCATCCTGAGGCAAGAGAGGGAGTTCTGCAACATGAAGGGGTAAAGATGGCACCCTCATTCCTTCACTTTCAGCACATTTCACTGTATTAAAGCTTATGTGAATCTGTTTTAAGTAGGTTTAGAGATTTTATTAGCTAGTTTTAACCAAGCTAGCATTCACAACACGAAAAAGTGCCTTAAAAGGAGTCCTGTACAGACTTTGGACTGCAGATAAACCATTAATCACATAAACAGAAGAGAGCAAAAAAATGACAGAAGTTACACCTTCTGCTGCTCCTCCCGCCACACTACAAAGTAAAAGTAATAACTAATGCCACTGATAAGCAGTGTGACCTGGAGTTAATCAAATCTGACAAGAAGCATTCTCCCCAAAACTTCAAAATTATCAAAAAAATTGTCTGAAATATGGCTTTATATCCAGTAGTAACAATGAACCTCACCCTAAGTGTAAACTGTGCCTTGGGAGATTAGCTCATGATATTATGAAGTCATCACAATTAGTAATAGCAAGATATCTTGAAAACTAAGCTTTCATTGCCAAAAATTATGGGTGTCACCTATAAAAAATCTCATATCCCTAACACTAAAAAAATTTAGAAATGGAATTTTCTAGTTTGTTTTAAAATCTCTCCAAAGACTTTAGAACCCATTTTAAAAAGGCATTACTTTTTGATTACTTTGAAAGAACAAATTACAGTAGTGAAGATGAAAATGTATTGATTACCCAAATTATCCAAAAACAAAAAACCCCACGTAAAACAAAACAAAAAACTCTAAACTATGAGCTAGACCTTCAAACAGTTATAACAGTTAATCAAAGATTACTGAAAAGAAGGAAGCAATTCAATCCCGTTCTTCTCACTAATATTAGTAATTTTAGTATAAATAATTTCAATGGAAGCAAAAGGGTTTTTTTAAACCAGTAAAAAATCATTTTTAAAATTACATTTCATGTTGCATACCCTTTAATTTCTATGTTTTATAACTTATTTATCAATACAATAGCAGTTGTATGTAATTTATAAATTCATATATATAGGAATGTGCTCAAATATTTTTTACAGATGGGAAAGGGGACACAAGAAAAAAACCCAACACTACTGTCCTACCTATACTACCCTGCTTCCTTAAAATCTTTTTTGCACCAAAAAGTCTATACTATCAAAAAAAAAATTACACCAACAAAATTGCTATCCAAAAGGATATGTTGTGGAATTATTAATTTTACTAAGTTTTACCCTAGGCAAAACTTAGCATTATTTCCTTAATACACATCAAGCCAGATGAACGGCCCAAATACTGCATTGGTACCTAGAGAATGTCCAAAGAAGGCCCCCAATGTCATGGGAAGGTCTTCACTAAAGGATTCTGGGAAGCTGAAGATGAGAATCACACACATCATGAGAAGGTCTGTGATCTGTAAGATGCAGGAGGGGAAGTTATGTCCGCCACTAAATTACTGACGTGTCCTACACCAGTCCAAACTCGCACACTATCAGTGAACTGCTTAAGTTTTATCAAATAAAATCCAGTTTAGAAACTCACGTCCTTTCTTCTTTTTCTTCTTTTTCTTTTTCTTTCCTGCTGCTCCATCTCCATCACCATCTCCATCTAAGGGAAAAAGGATTACAAATGTAAATCACAAAGTAAAGGGAATAACGATTAAATCATGATAAGGCACACAAGACCTAGTGTTTGTAAATGAATCACAGCAAACACATTTGTACCCAAATGTGGTTCATACAACTGTTACTGGACTTCATTTTACAGGAATTTGATAACTCAGTTATTAAGAGATATCTACAGAACAAAACAATTAACAAAAGAAGTCAGTGAAAAGTCATTTACATTTGGGGACGGGTCTTCTCACTCCCCTTCGGGGGCACTTGCCAGGAAGGACACAGTAGCTGCATGTAAAGTGAGGAAAAATATCTGATGTTGCTTATCATACTTCAATATCAAGAACAAAAAAAAATCATATGATAATTCAAAAAACAAAGATTGGGAAGTTAAGTCAAGAATCAGATTTAGTATGTTAATGGTCAGAAAAGTTCCATAAATCTTCAGAAATTAACCTAATGGATTTGGGATTCAAACTAACGGCAAACGATTAATTGTGTCTCATCTCAGTTCTACTAGACTTCTCTTTGGTAAATTACCCTTTTTAATAACCAGTTCTGTATCACCAAGTTAAAGCTGAGATAACAAACACATGGCCCGCTTGGTCACCAGCATGTGGCTCAAAAACCTTCCAACTGAGAAGATCCCAGCTGAGTTTGAATTCTGCTGCCAGATCCTTAAAAAACTCCAAGTTATCCATATGCTATGCTACCATGAGTCTTTGAAGGAGTTTGCTGAAAAGAATGGCTATTAATAGCCATCAAAAAAATAACATGAATATTACACATATTACCCACAGGGCCTCTGAACTACTTTCAATAGTGAAAAAATACTGTATCAGGTTAGGGTCAATCAATCAATAAAGATTTATTGATTGCCTACTATGTGCCTGGCACTGTGCTAAGTGCTAGGCATACCAGAAAGAGGGAAAAAACAGTCCCTGCCCTCAAGGAGTTCACAATGTAATGGGGGAGGAGACAACAAGCTAGAAACAGGATAAATGGGAAATAATAGAGGGAGGTCACTGGAATTAAGACGGATTAGGTAAGGCTTCCTGTAGAAGGCAGGATTTTAGTTGGGTCTTAAGGAAGCCAAGGAGGTCAGTAGTGGGAGTAGAGGAGGGACAGCATTCTGGACATCGGGGACAGCCAGAGAGAATGCCTGGAGTCCAGAGATGGAGTGTCTTGGTTGTGGAATGGCCAGGAGGCCAGTGTCACTGGTTCAGGGAGTACATGACAGGAAGTCAGGTGCAACAAGACTAGAGAAGTGGAAAGGGAGAAGGAAGGGGAGCACTGGGTTACGAAGGGCTTTGAATGCCAAACAGAGCATTCATATTTGATCCTAGAGGGGCTAAAGAGCTATTAGGGTTATCCAGCAGAGGAGGGCGACAGGATGGGACTTTAGCAAGACCACTTGAATGGATGAGTAGGGAGAGCCTGGAGGCAAGGAGTGTCAGAGGACAAGCGGTTATATTTGAGAATGGGTGGAGTGGGATGGTAAAAGATCGTGAAGAGTCCAGGATCACCCCTAGGTTGTGAGTCTGAAGGACTGAAGGATGATGTTGTCCCTTACAGTAGTAAGGAAGGTTTAGGGGTAGAGATGCTGGAGATGCAAGACTGGCAGTGAGCAGCAAGCGTGGGGCAAGTTAGGGAGTTTTGAGAACTATCAGCACATAGATGGTAATGAAGCTCATGGGAGCTGATGAGATCACCAAGTGAAGAAGTATGGAGCGAGGAGAGAAGAGGGCCCCAAGATAGAATCCTGCTGATGCCTACCATTAGAGGCAGTATCTGGATGAAGATCCAACAAAGGAGACCAAGCAGGAGCAGACAGGTAGGCAGACAAGAGCTAGGAGAGAGTGAGCACCCAAAAACATCGAGAGAGACTATCAAAGAGGGTCAAGTGATAAACTACGTCCAAGGCTGGAGAATGAGGACAGAGTAAAGGCCCTTGGATTTGGCAATCAGGAGGTCATTAGTAACTGGGGAGAGAGCAGTTTTGGTGGAAAGATAAGGTCAGAAGCCAGCTTGTAAGGGGTTAAGAAGAGAGTGAGAGGGAAAAAAAATGGAGGTCCCTATTGTAGATGGCCTTTTCAAGGGCAGAGGAGATAACAGGATCCAGCAGGAGAGGTGGTAGTACAAGAATCAAGTTAAGGGTTGGTTTTTTTCCCCCACAATGGGGGAGACACGGGCACCTTTGGAGGTAGAAGGGATTATTAAATCAGTAAACAGAGGGGGACACTCTGCTGGGGGAGATGGGAGGGGATGAGATCACTTGAACAGGCAGCCTTGGTAAGGAGTAAAGCTACTTCATCACGTGAAGGTGACAGTGCCAGGAGGAGATGAAGAGGGGAGAAGAGGGCGCTCATGGTGAATGGCTTCAATTTTTCTGTGTGAAATATGAGGTAAGGTTCTCATCTGGGAGGGTGGGAGGAGGAGGAGCCACAGAAAGGTTTGGGAAGGGATGGGGTTTGGAAGAGTTGCTGTAGAGATTGCAGGTACAATAGGATTGCCTAGGAGCAGTGAAGTTGTGTTACATAAATCAGAAGTGCAGCAGTGAGCAGTTATATGATTTTGTTCCCCTTCATTCAGCAGCACATCTGTAGGCTCAAAGGTGATGAAATGGTCGGAGCGATCCAAGGCTGA